GATGCTCAGATCCCATAACAGTGTCTGGACTTGAGTCCTGGTTCAACTCCGGATTCTAGCTTCGTGTCAGCGTACAACTAGGAGGCAGCAGATGATGGTGCAAGGATTTTGAGTCCATGCCACGTACATGGAAGACCCAGACTGAGTTCTGGACTCCTAGTTTTGTCTTTGCCCAGCCCCCAGCTGTTGCAAGCATTTGGAGAGTGATGAAGCAGATGAAAAATCTATCTATCTCCCTCTCCCTTTCTCCTCGTTCCCCATCAATCTGACCTTAATATAAAAATATAAACTTCTTAAAAATTTGGAGGGGGGACAGCATTGTGACACAGTGAGTTAAGCCACCACCTGTGACACTGGCATCCCATACGCCAATTCCTGCTGCTCTGCTTCTGACCCAGCTTCCTGCTAATGCAAGTGGGAAAGGAGCAAAAGATGGTCAAAATACGTGGGCCCCTGCCAACCCATGTGGGAGACCAGGATGGAGATCCTGGCTCCTGGCTTCTGCCTTGCTGAGTGAGACCTAGCTATTGTGGCCATCTGGGAAGTGAACCAGCTGATGAAAGATCTCTCTCTCTGTCTCCACTTCTCCTCCTCCTCCTCTCTCTGTCACTTGCCATTCAAATAAATTTTTAAAATCTGTTTTTAAAGATTTATTTATTTATTTGAAAGGCATAGTTACAGAGAGGCAGAGGCAGAGAGAGAGAGAGAAGGTCTGCCATTCACTAATTCACTTCCCAAATGGCCACCATGGCTAGAGCTGAGCCGATCTGAAGCCAGCAGCCAGGAGCTTCTTCTGGGTCTCCCAAGTGGGAGCAGGGGCCCAGGAATTTGAGCCATCTTCTACAGCTTTCTCAGGAGATAGCAGAGAGCTAGATTGGAAGTGGAGCAGCCGGGGTTTGAACCAGCACCCATATGGGATGCCGGAACTGCAGGGGGCGGCTTTACCTACTATGCCACAGTGCTGGCCCCTTAAAATCTTGATTCTTGGGGCCAGCGTTGTCACATAACAGGTTAAACCACTGCCTGCAATGCTGGCATCCCATATGGATGCTGGTTCAAGTCCTGATTGCTCCACTTCTTGATCTAGCTCCCTGTTAATGTACCTGGGAAAGCATTGGAAGATGCCACAAGGGCTTGGGACCCTGCACCCATGAAGCTCCTAGCTCCGGGCTCTAGCTTGGCTCAGCTCTAGCCATTGTGGCCATGTGGGGAGTAAACCAGTAGATGGAAAATCAGTCAATCAATATCTCTCTCTCTCTCTCTGTCTCTCTCTGTCTCCCTCCCACCCTCCCTCCCTTTCTTTCTCTCTATAACTCTACCTTTCAAATAAATAAACCTTAAAAAAAAAAAAAAACACTTGATTCTTCATCTCTAGCCTTTCTTCATAATCACACATTTCTATGTTGGTTTATTCAAGACAACCTGTGTATATAAAGAATTAAAATATGCATCACATCTTGCAGATCTTTCTAATTTCAATTCTTTTGGCAACTCGCTTCATTATACTTGTGTTTTCTTATGTTACAAAGAATCTGGTGCAGAGTTTTAGAATCAGCAACTGAAAATCTATTCTGGACATGGAATTAAAAGAGAAAATTTTTACCAAATCTATTTGATGAAATCATTCCAAGTAATATGAAACTTACATAATTATTCATGATAAAGTGATAAACACTCAGAAGACAAGAAATGGAAAATATTCACTAGTGATGTTTCCAAAGATGACCGACACAGCTGAAAATTCTCTCAAATAAAGCCAAATGTGAGAGAAAAGGAGAAATTCATTAGGGCAGGAATCTGTCTCCTCCACACTCAGGCTGCAGGAAGACAGTAGGCTGCATACAGAGAAGTGAGGAAACGGGACTGGACTCCAGAGTCCCCAAGTCCTCACACCCACAGCCCGAGCCCAGCCCAGGACTTCCTGAGAAAGTGAGAAAAGCAAAGGAAATCCAGGAGCAAACCAATGATTCTTTCTAAATGACCCAGTCTTTTAAATATGCATCTTGAATTGTGGTGGGATATTACTCAGTCATAAAAAAGCATGAAATCCTGTCTTTCTGAACAAAATGGTTGCAACTGGCAACCATTATGTTTCGTGAAATAAGCCAGTCCCCAAAAGGCAAATACCATATGTTTTCTGTGATTTGTGATAACGTACTGAGTACAGGCCCTGCACCCGCATGGGAGACCAGGAGGAAGCACCTGGCTCCTGGCTTCAGATCAGCGCAGTGCGCCGGCCATAGCGGCTATTTGCAGGGTGAACCAAGGGAAGGAAGACCTTTCTCGCTAACTCTGTTTTTTTTTTTTTTTTTTAAAGCACATTTTAAAAAATCAACAAAGCATGGGAAATATCACATTGCAGTAAGAGAAATATGACCAGTAAACAATATAGAAGTATAATACTCTGACATAAAATTATACAAAGGCAAAGAGAACTCTCCTCATCACAAGAGGTTTTCTACAGCTAGCACAGTGCGTTGAAAACAGGACAGCCACATTCAGGAAACATTGACAATGACAAAGAACAGCAACATCATCCACTAAGTCAGGCCAGCGCTCCTTCCACCACCCGGCAAAGCACATGCTACGGGAAGGCTTTCTCAAAAGCAGACACTTGACTTTTAAGCTCTGATTCCAATCAAAGAGGAGCTGAGAGTTGCAGACAATCACAGAATGCTAGAGCAGGCCCTGAGAGAACTCACCCACTTGGTTCAAAGTGAATCATCTCATTTGGCCAAATTTATGTAACAGCTGGAAGCAGAACTTGCCTGAGGAGGGGTGTGGGCCACTGCATGTCATGCCAGGACCTTTCACCCTGTAAACCAGAAAGAGCTGCCACTTAAAACCCCAACAAGCTGCAGTGTCTTTAACCCAGTTACGTGTACTACATTTAATAGGTGGAGGCGGAAGATCCATGAGAGGCTGTATTGGAAAAATGAACAGAGTCTTCAGTGACAATAGTGCTGTAAGTCCTGTCCCAGTTCAGTAATAGCTAACACTTTTTTAATACTAGACTCTCTTTAAAAATTATACATATATGAATGCATATGTGTGTGTTTGTGCATACATGCACGTTCTCTGTAAGGTACAATTACTATGCCCATTTTGTACATGGGGAAACTGAGGTGCAAAGGCTGCAGAGCAGGTAAGTGGACAGAGCTAGAACGCAAAGCACGTAGTTCAGCTCCAAAGTCAGTGTCCTTAATTACTGCTCTGTTCAGCCTCTCAGTCCAACCACTGACTCAGCACCTATAGTGTGCACCTGCATTAGGCTCTGGGGATATTAAGAGGCCTGAACCTGGTCCTGATAGGTGACATGTGTTTTGTCCTGTAAGTAGGACAGGAACAAAGGCCTGAGGCAGGGCCATGCTAGCCCTTTATACATCTCTCTGTCAACCACCAGTGGGCACTTCGAGAAGCTAAACTGAAGCTAGATTACAACCCTACCTGCCCCCTTGGCAGGCATCTCTGTGCAGTGTCCAATAGGCACAACTGACTACAGCAGCCCTGGGAGCAGCCCAGGAAGAGCCTCCACTCAGTTTTTGTAGTGAAAGACTGGAGAGAAGGTTTAAATTAGAGTAGGAGGGGGAAAGTGAATTCTCCCACTAAAATTATCTCCATAATACTATGCTTGCCGATCATTTTAATTAGCTAGAAGTCAGGATCACACAAGCTACCCAGCTTTATTAAGAACAAGAGTTGAAAGAAAAACAAAACATCACACAACCCAGTTTATGTGTGTCATTGTTAAGTCACAGTGTGTGACTTCAACACCACACAACCATCAACCCTTCTGTTTCCTCAGTCATCCCTCAACCTCACTCTTCACGGCACCTTCTTCAACTCTACTCAGTTCAAACCCCGGCCCCACACATTTCACTCTAAAGAGAAGGACCTTGCATTCTACTTCATCAGCACCACCAGCTCATGACTCACGATGGAAAGCCAACCCCCAATCCTCCTGCCCCTGAAGTTTACGCCCTCCTTTTCCCTTTCATGACTTAGTTAAGTCTACAAGCATCATGTTCTCACTTCCTTCTCTTCACTAATGTAACTCCCATCTGACCCCCAACAGTAAGGTCACAGCTAATGTGAATCCAGTGGTCATTTGTCAGTCATCATCTTCCACAATCTGTGGGCAATGTTTAGCAAGTTGGCCACTTCCTCTTCCTGGAAACAGTCTCTGTCCTCAGCCTGCTTGACGGCACCCTTTCCAGGCTTTCTTCCAAACTCTCTATTCTCTTTCTCCAAGGCCCCTGTTTAGCTTCCTTTTTCTTTTGGTAATCCTGTAAAAAACTGTATGCCTACTATGTGCTAGCATTGGCTAACACATGGGGATTCCTATCCCACTCTGCATTACCCAAACTTCAGGCCTGACTATGGCTTCAGTCATCATCTACATGGTTAAGAACTAAGTGCAGGCACTAGTCGGAACTCGGTTCGAATTATGGCTCCATCATGTCTTAGGCATGACACTCAATTTCTCTAAGCCATAGTTTTCCAATGTGGAAAATGATAAAAACAGGGGCAAGCATTTGGCCTGGTGGTTAAGACGCCACTTGGGACACCCACATCCCATATCACAGTGCCGGAGATCAAGTCCCAGTTCTGGCCCCAATTCCAGTTTCCTGCTAATGCCCACCTTGGGAGGCAGCAGTGCTGGCTCAAGTAGTTGGGTCCCTGATAACTATATGCAAGACCTGGATGGGGTTCTTGCCTCCCAACATTAGCCTGGCCCAGTCCCAGCTGTTGCAGGCATTTGAGGAGTGAATCAGTGGATGGGCGCTCACTCTGTCTCATTGCCTCTCAAATAATCTTTTTTTACATAAGTAAAATGATAATAAATGAATTTAAGAAAAATATTTAAAAAAAAGAATATTTAGCTCTGTGCCTCTTACATGATATTAATAATACAGTATAGTATACCGCAAGTAATAATGAACATTAGGCATTATTTTAACTACATGTCCAAATCTCATTCTGAGTTTCAATGTACTTACTTGCAATCTCAATTTGTATTGTTGAATAAACAGCCCAAACTGAGGCACTCTGAAATCAAACTCTCCGCCTTCCATCACAACCTGGTATTCCTTCAATTATGGCATATCACGCTGCCTGACCCCATTAACCAACTCAAGGAGGTAGTGTTAAAATATGCCCATAAAGTCTTCAACCTTCCTCCTACCAACAGAGGTCTCTGTCCTGCCCCTGAACCTGAGCATGCCTTTGTGACTGGCTTGATGATGCTGCACCACTGCTGAGGACAGGTTAGAAAAGGCCATGTAGCTTCTATCAGTTTCTCTTGGTACATTTGCTCAGTGAGCCTCCAGCCTCAATAGAAGTCCAGCTATCCTGAGGCCACCACATTGGAAGACCACACAAAGGGAGGTCCCAGTATTCCATTATATTTGTCCAGCTCCCAGCTGTTACAATACTCCTAGCCCAAATGTCAGACATGTGTATGAAGAAGCTTTGAGATGACCCAGTCACCATCTGAGTTTAACTTCGGAAGGGAACCTGAGCAAGAACTGCCTAGTCGAACCAAGTAAAATCTCAGATTCATAAGTAAAACAAATTACTGTCATTATTTGAAACCACTGTTTTGAGATGGTTTATTACTCACGAATAGATGACCACAACAATGTTCAAACCAAACACTTGAATTACCCCATCCCCAACCCACCCTAAGATCTCTTCTCTCATCTTCCATATCTAATTACAAAATTCTGGCAATTCTTACGCATGACTTGAATGCATGTACTTTTCTGTGGCTCTCCTGCCCCTACCTGGTTGTGAATATCACCATCTCATTCCCAGATTGGAGCAACATTCTCTTGACTAGTCTTGCCACAGTTGGCCTTCCACACTGAAGCCAGATCTGACCATGTCACTGCAGGCAAACCTTGAAAGGTTCCATAAAGTGGCATTCACTGTGCTCTGCCGCTTCATGTCCAGACACTGCTCCAAACCCTGCCCCAGCCACACAAAGCTCCTGCAGTTCTGTGAAGTCATGGGGTTACACAGCTGCTTTCTCTGCCCGGCCTTGGCTCTGTCACTGGGCCAACTCTATTCTACTTCACTGTTAGACACAAAACCACTCCTCTGGGCCCTCAGGTTAACGTCCCCTTTCATGTGCTCCCTTAGTAACCTTTATTTCCCTCCTGATAAACAGTGCTATCCAAAGGAGTGTCTTTAGGACAAGTCAATGCTTTTTTCACTTGTACATCCCCAGTGCCCAGGACAGCAGCAGGACATAAAAGTCTGATAAAAATATTAGGGAAGTTGAACAAATGAATGAAAAGTTATGTAAAGGTAACACAAAAGTCATTTGCTGAGAAAGAAAAGAGAAATAGTTCAGGAAGTACATGACTAAGAAAGATTTTGGGATTATCTAACTAATCTCATCCTTTCAAAGATGAAAAAACTGAGGTCAATGACAGTGATGGCTTGCCCAAGCTCATACACTTGGTAGCAAAGCCAGGAACAGAATTGGGTCAGTTGATTCCCATGGTACTTCTAAAGCATGTCACAATTTTCAAAGAAACCAAACAATTGAATAGCATACCATCAGAATTTCAGAATATAGCCAAACAATTTATCTAAAAATAAGAAAAATTGTCTTAAATGCTTCTTTTACTATATTGTTCTCAGATCTGAATGTTTAAAAGTAGCACTGGGAAAATTCAAATTTCTTTGGAGTAGACACACCCATCTGGCAGACTAAATAAAATGGCTGACAATATAAAGGACTGGTGAGGATATGGAATAACTACAAGTCTCTTACATGAATGGTGGACATCCAATTGGTACAATTTGTGAAAATATTTGGCAGTATGCAGTAAAACTAATTATACATACACCCTATGACCCTGAAATTCCACCCTTGGTATACATCCAACAGAAATCAATGTTTATTTTCACCAAAATGTCTGTAGCCGTGTGATTTCAAATATCCACAAACTGGGAACCATCTAAAATGCCCACCAACAATAGAACAGATCAATTGGTAATGACATATTCATACAATGGACTTTTTTTTTTTTTTTTTGACAGGCAGAGTGGACAGTGAGAGAGAGAGACAGAGAGAAAGGTCTTCCTTTGCCGTTGGTTCACCCTCCAATGGCCACCGCCGCCGGCGCGCTGCGGCCGGCGCACTGCGCTGATCCGAAGGCAGGAGCCAGGTGCTTCTCCTGGTCTTCCATGCGGGTGCAGGGCCCAAGCACTTGGGCCATCCTCCACTGCCCTCCCTGGCCACAGCAGAGAGCTGGCCTGGAAGAGGGGCAACCGGGACAGAATCCGGCACCCCGACCAGGACTAGAACCCGGTGTGCTGGCGCTGCAAGGTGGAGGATTAGCCTAGTGAGCCGCTGCGCCGGCCACAATGGACTATTAAATTGCAATAAGAACAACAAAAAAAGAACAAACTACTTTTTCATGCAACAAAATGGATGAATCCCAAAGGTGAGCTGAATGAAAAGAAATCAAACACAACAGAAAACAGACAGCTCAAAGCCAGACAAAATAAATCTATGCTGGTACTGCCTGAGAAGAGACACAAAGACTTCTGAAGTATTGGGAAGGTGCCACATCCCTTCTGGGGGTAGTTACAAAGTTCAAGTATACATACATCCATCCAGCTGCAACTTTAAGACTTGTGTGACTCGTATGGAAAATTACCTCTTTTTTTTAAGCATTTCTTAGGATAAATAAGAATTTTAATTAGAAAAGGAAAAATAATGGTGGCCAGAGCTTTGTATAACACTTTACATTCTTGGCATATACTATACACATCATCTCATCTAATGTTTAAAAAAAACTCAACATTTCTTTATAAATAAGATTCTGAGATCATTTACTAGTCATAGTAACATTTTAAAAATCAGAATCAACTCACAGAAGCAGCAGAAGCTCTTCTGGAAAGTTTTTCAACTCAAGCCACAATTATGAAAACCTAAAGAGTGAAAATTAACTTGGGGAGCTAACCTCTGGAAATTAATATGATTAGTTACTTCTGATGACATTCAAAGTTTATAACATTTAAATTTAGCTACAAGTTATCATGCTCATTTTAAAGAATTTATAAATTAACAAAACATTTTCTAACTATAAAAATCTGACTTAGAATAGGAAAAAAGGAGAGAATAAATATTAAAACGAGACTAAAAATTAACCTTCTCATAGGGACTAGGAGGAAGCATATTATTTAAGTATGGATAACAGACCAAAATGTTGGCCTGTTGCAGAACAAACCAAAAATGCATGTCTTGTTCCAGGTCATGGACAACTTCTTGATTCCCAGTTCTAAAAATTGACAAGAAATATAATGTGTTCTCAAATAATGTCTAAATTATTCTACAAAAATTGTAGACTGTGGGGGGAAAAAAAACCCTAAAGGAAAAAAAATCAAGGATACACAGAGAAAGAGAAAGACAGAGACTCTAAAACTGCCCCTTCTGTTGATGCCCGGATATTGAATCATATGGGCCATCAATCAGTATAGAAATTCTACAATTTTCTTCCCCCCCAATAACACACTATATACTTTATAGTTTATTTATTTTTATTAATGATCTGATGCTACCTGCATTTTGCAAATGAGGAAGCTCTAGTTCAAGAAGATTTGTCAGAGATCAAGTTTCCAGTATTTGGAGGCTTAGAAATAAACCAATTCTAAAAACATACAGATATACACACTTGAGGAGTGATACATGATTATCATCTTTTTATTCTGCCTGGTAATAATATCTTTAGACAAGGCCAGCATTGTGGCTACACCGCTTCCAATCCAGCTCCCTGCTAACAGCCTGGGGAAAGCAGCAGAAGATGGCCCAAGTGCTTGGGCCCCTGAACCCAAGTGGGAGACCAGTATCAAGCTCCTGGCTTCTGCCTTCAGCCTAGCTGGCCATTGCAGCCATCTGGGCAGTGAACCAGTTGATGGAAGATCTCTCTCTGTAACTCTTTCAAATAAATAAATAATATTAGAGAGAGACCTATTCACTATCACTTAGAATAGAGAGGATATTCTAATATCCACAAAAAGAAATAGATGCACTCAATTTTTAAATATCTGTAAATTAAATTTTTGATTGTTTACTAACATTCTCTTGATTTTTCCATTTTGTCATGGGCTGAGATCTGAAAAACACTTATATCCCAAAGCTAGCAGGTTGGGGTTTTGCCTCCCTTGGAGCCCTTCTACGTGCTACTCTGGCTGGAGGTCTTTTGACTAATAAATTTTGCTTTAATATCTCTCCGCTTATCCACTTGGAAATAATTCTTCCATGTGAGATAAAGAACGCTGCCGTCTCACCTGTAACATTTTGGTGTCCTGACTTGGATCCCGCTAGAGTCTAACTCCAGCCAGAGTCGAATCATCCTGCCAGACTGACCCTGGAAGTTTAATTTGCTTGTTAGATTCCTTTTCTCCAGACTTGAAACAGTGAAGTTCTAATGGCTATGCACACGAAACCTCGGATGAAAGCAGTTTCTACAAGTTGGCGCTACATCCTCCACCTCCTGCTACTTCACCCCTACTCTGCTTGAAGAAGCCAGAGAGGTCATTGTCCCACATCCCCTAACGGAAGTTAAGGTCCATTCCTCTGGGGAACGGAATGTGGGGAGTCAGATGGGCGGGCAGTCAGGACTTCCGGTGGAGATGGAGGACGCAAAATGCTTGCTTTGCCCAGAGGTTGTCTTTAGCAAGGTCAAAAGTATCTGCCTGCCCACTTCCTGGAAGCTTCCAATCTTATTAGAATTTAAAGGGGGTGAGCTCCTTCTGAGCTCCCAGTTTACTGTAAAACAAATTAGGTATCCCACCCTTGGATGGCTTTTTTTGTTTTATCTTGAGCAGCAAGGCAGGACAAAAGATTGCAAATCAGGTCTTTAGATGGGTTTTATCTCTGCCTTGTCAAGTTTTTTTTCTTCTCCAAAATTGAACTTAAAAACTCCAGTACCACTGGACTCTTCGGGTTTTGCCTCTGTGCCACTCTGGCTGGAAGTCTCTGACTCTAATAAATATTGTTTCTATATCTCAAAAAAAAAAAAAAAACAGGTGAAAGGAACAGGACTTCAACCTCTGGTGTTTGTTTGTTTGTTTTCTGTTTTAGATGTATTTATTTGAAAGGCAGAATTACAGAGAGAGGGAGAGGGAGAGAGGGAGAAAGGGAGGGAGAGAGAGAGAAAGGGAGGGAGATATCCTCCATCTGGAGCTCCATCCAGGTCTCCCACATGTGTGACAGAGGCCCAAGGACATGGGCCATCCTCTGCTGCTTTCCCAGGAGCATCAACAGGGAGCTGGATCCAAAGTGGCATGCAGGCACTGAAGGTGGTCGCTTAACCCATTATGCCACAGCACTGGCCCCCAGTTGTATTTATTTATTTTTTTTACATTTTTTTATTTAGTAAATATAAATTTCCAAAGTACAGTTTATGGAATACAATGGCTACCCCCCCCCATAACTTCCCTCCCACCCACACCCCTCCCAAATTCCATTCACATCAAGATTCATTTTCAATTATCTTTATATACAGAAGATCGATTTAGTATATTTAGTAAAGATTTCATCAGTTTGCACCCACACAGAAACACAAAGTGTAAAATACTGTTTCAGTACTAGTTATAGCATTACTTCACATTGGACAACACACTAAGGACA